GAGAGTTGGTAATGGATAGAAGATAAAAATTTGGGAATACCCTTGGCTCATTGATGATGAGGGGCGATTTGCTATGTCTGAATTTCAAGACCCCGAGTGTGTTATGGTAGCAGATTTATTTTCTGCTCATGAGAGTGGGTGGGATTATGAGAAGGTGGAGAGAACTTTCAATGAACGAGATAAGCAACTGATTTATGCCATCCCCATCAGTGACAGGTTGCCTGCAGACATTCCCACCTGGGCATGGTCCAAGCATGGTGATTATGAGGTGAAGACAGCCTATCTTTTAGGCAAGTCATGCTTGCTTGATAACTTCAAGAAGTTTTGGGTTGAAATTTGGAAGGCCAAAGTCACGCCCAAGGTGAGGCATTTTCTCTGGAGGTGTTGTACTAATACTCTCCCCACTCGTGCTTTGCTGAACTACAGACATCTCATTGATGACCCAAGATGTCCTTGCTGTGGATTGAGCTGCGAGTCTGCTGCCCATGCCCTTATCTCCTGCCCCTCTATTCGTGCTTTGTAGGAAAAATCTGAGTGTAGTGTTGCGCTAAACATTGGGGAGGTTACTACATCTGGTGAAATTATTTTGTTATGGCAGGACAAGTTAGACGAAGACACTTTCCAGAAAGCTTTGTTAATTGTTATTGGTCTGGCAGCTTTGGCATAGGCGCAATAAATGGTTATTTAAGAGCACCTGTGAACCTAAGGAGGTTATCCTTCACCGTCATTGCAGACTGGTTGATGATTTTAATCTTTATAATGAGAAGATTTATGGCGGCTTAAACTAGGTTCGTACTCCCAGCAGAGCTATTTAGATTCCTCCTCCCTTGGGGGTGATTAAAATCAATGTTGATGCCTTAACTAAGGATGATGGGTGGATTAGCTTGGGGGTAGTGGCACGAAACAACTCAGGGCAGGTCTTGTTTGCTGCTGTCAGAAAAATCAAAGCCAGATGGGATCCATTTGTAGCTGAGTGTAAAGCTGCTGTCTTTTGGCTAAGGAAGGCAAGAGAACATGGCTTCATTGATTTGATTTTTGAATCAGATTCACAACTTATGGTGTAGAAGCTTGGAAAGAACACCTTCAATATGTCTCCAGTGGACAGCATTCTAGAAGACATCATTGCTTCTAGCTCTAGTTTCTCGTCTATTATTTGGTCTCATGTTAAGCGAGATGGTAATTGTGTAGCTCACCATCTTGCAAGATTAGTGCAGGTTGGTGTAGAGTAAAGTTGGGAAAATCATGTCCCTAGTGATATTTCCCCGTATGTACTTGTTGATACTCTTACTATTTAAATAAATTGCTCTAACCGGTTTAAAAAAAATATCATTGTGAATATTTTTTTGTGCAATTATTATGTGTAATTATGCATAGTTATAAACTGCCGGTTGATTTTACAAAATACATTTCATTTGGTAGAATATTTAACTGCTTGAAATCTAATAAAAAAAGTATATCAAACCAGCCAAGTGAAACAACTAAGAACTGAACGCCAATGGCTAATTGCCAAACATGACTATTTGACTAATAGCCAATAACCAAACACTAATATTTGAATTAAATGGCTTTTTTTAAACCTGGTCACAAAATGAAATTTACTCCAAAAATTATTGTTGTACATAATTTATACAAACACAACATTAATACCAATAATAAAGCCTTACTCTCAAAATGATTTGGATAAGCCATCATGAATTGTCATACTGAACAATTAGATACAGAAAAAGGGACATAATTAGATAATTAATTAAAAGAGTGTTTAATAAGTTGTAATAAATCCGCCATAAAAAAAAGTTAATAAGGTATATATTAACATATATATAAATCCTTTGGTTTGACCATCTTCCAAGACATTCAGGGTTTGACACTGTTCTATTTTTATTTATTTTTCTTTAAAAAAAATTGCTTTACCTAATTTTGTTAATCATCTTTTATATAACTAGTCGTTGGAGCACGCGCGTTGCGCGTGCCCCCCCCCCCCCCCCCCCCGACGGCAAGATAAGTACAATTCGTGGTTGTATTCTTTTTTTGTGATATTTGCGGTTGTGTTCGGGTTTTGTAATAGCAAGGATACATGAATTTGTAAGTAGTAATAAGTAATGAAAAAGTTGCTATGGACATATATCTATGAATAAAAAATTATTAAAAGTGAGGTAATCTAGAACGCCATTATATATTTTAAAACGCAATACAATTTCTTATTACTTAGATAATTTTCGAATAGCTTTGTATTAAAATGATTGCAATAATAATGAGTAGTAATAAAAAAATGCAATATTAAAGGTTAAGGTTGTGTAAAATGGATTAAACGTAAAAGATATGAAAGAATTGTATTGTTGTTCGTGAGACTATTTAAGATAAAAAAAATTTCGAGTGACTTTGTGTATAATGTTGTTTTTCTATTGAAAACTGTAGCTAGTACAAAAGTTTATAATCGATCCCCCGACCCTTTTATCTTTCTTGTCTTCTCTCTTTCTTTCCCTCTCTCTATTTCTATCACTCTATCTATTTCTCTCTCTTTCTCTTCCGACCCTTGTTTCTCTTTCGAGCCTTGTCTTTCTCTCTTTCTTTCTCTTCCTGCCCCTTGTTCTCTCTCACTTCTCCTGACCCTTTTTCCTCTCCTTTTATTCTCTTTCCCGAAACCTTTCCTCTCTTATCATGCTCTAGCTCTTCTCTCTAAGTCTGCCCCCTCTCTCTCTCTTCCAGTCGTTCTCTCCACTCCTACCAAGGTCTCTCCTCTCCTATGATGCTCTCTCCTCTCTTAGCACTTAATTGCACTTATTGAATGTCTCTCTCTCTCTTCCATGTCTCTTTCCTCTCCTAGCATGCTCTCTTCTCTCTTAACCTACCCCCTCTCTCTCTCTCTCTCTCTCTCTCTCTCTCTCTCTTCCAGCCGTTCTCTCCACTCCTAGAAAAGTCTCTCCTCTCCTAGGATGCGCTCTCCTCTTTTAGCACAAATTTGCACTTATTGAGTGACCATCTCTCTCTCTCTCTCTCTCTCTTCCAGCCGTTCTCTCCACTCCTAGCAAAGTCTCTCCTCTCCTAGGATGCGCTCTCCTCTTTTAGCCAAATTTGCACTTATTGAGTGACCATCTCTCTCTCTCTCTCTCTCTCTCTCTCTCTCTCTCTCTCTCTCTCTCGCGCACCCCCCCTCCCCGACGGCAAGATAAATAAAATTCGTGGTTAAGTTGTGTTTGGTTTTTGTGATATTCGTGGCTATATTCGAGTTTTGTAATAGCAAGGATACAAGTAGTAACAAGGAGTAGTGATAAAGTTGCTATGGAGACATATCTATGGAAAAACAATTTTAATAAGTGAAGTTATCTAGAATTTAGTAGTTAATTAAATATGTATCTCGAAAGTATTAAGTAGAGTATAACTACTCACTCGTTTTCTACAAAGTGTCTTATTAGTTTCGAACAGTAGAGTAAATTGGAAATGAGTGGAAAAAGAGGATAATTTGAAAAGGGTGGTAAGAAGCAAGTGATAGAGGAACAAGTCCAACCATTTCATTTCTTTGTTGCCCTATATTGTCATTCTCTCTTTTTCCTTTTCTTTTCCCCTTGCCTTGTCTTAATTATTCTTTTTCTATGGATTTGAAAGTTATTGGTCGACTTGCTCCTCTCTCACTCATTCCTTCTTTTATTGACCTAAACTCTTTCTCTCACTCTTGTTTCCTAATCTTTCTTGTCCTTGTTCTATCCTCTAAAAGGTTGTGAAAATTAATAGGTTGTATTTGCTCCCTCTCCCCTAGCCTTACTCTCCCCCTGGCCCTTCTATCTCATCCGACTTCTCTTTATCCCGCTCATTCTTTCAGCCCCCCCACTCGCTCTTTATCAGTTTCTCTTTATCTCTTACTATTTTTATCGATATATTTGTCTCTCTTCTAATCCTCGTTTATTTCTCTTTCCTGACCCTCCTTCTCTCACTCTCCTTCTCTATCTCTTAAGTTCTTTTCCAGCTCTTCGTTCTCTCTCTCTCTCTCTCTTCTCTCGGCTCCTCTCTCCCTGACCTTTTTTCTCTCATGCTCTCTCTTCCCTCTCTCTTGACCTTCCAACTCTCAAAGCATCTTCCTTTCACACATTCCCCCTCATTCTCTCTCTACTTCTCTCTCCCTCCTTCCCTCCCTCTCTCAACGCATCATTCTTATTCTCATCCCCTTCGCTCTCTCTCTCTCTCTCTCTATCTCTCTCTCTCTCTCCCCCATGCTTCAATTCCACCATCTCTTTTTCTAAAGGTATTTATTACGGAGTATTATGGTTGTATAAACATAATTAAAAACACTTACTTATATTTTAATCTAGCACGATTCTACCATAACGTTGAAATTTTCATTATAAAAGGTGTTTTTGATTAGTTGAGTTCCTCATAATTGTCACAAATCCATGTAGGATTAATCACAACATTTTTTTATGAAAGGAGTTTGTTGAGATCTAATTGTTGAAATCTTCTTCCCGCTTCTTGCTTACTTTGTTTCTGCTTCCTTTCAGCTTTATGATTTCTCTCATTAGGATTCCTACTTCTATTCAGTTTTATGATTTCTCTAATTAATATTTTTCTCATTTTTAGAAAAATTTCCTACTTTATAAAGCCAATTTTAAACTAATATTTATGAATTTATCACCCTTACCTTCCCTCTAACTTTTAATGTATAGAACAATTTATGGTATGAGCAAATTCTTTTACACGCAAATTAAAGTTTTTTTTTGTTAATTTTTTGTCGATTTTGACTAAAACGTTAACTCTTGACGGCGAATATGATTTCCAAAATCTTTATCGAATAACTTATTCGACATGTAATCAAAATGATTTTCGGACACATAAATTGAGAGAGAATTAAAATCGAGAAATACATAGAACACACCATCACATTAGATCCAAATCTTTAAAAACCCCTAATTATTTCTCATAAGTTTTAAAAAAAATCATCCATTTTTGTTAAAGAAAAAAACAATAATTTTAAAAACCCTCATGGTCATTATTTATTTAAAATAGAGATGTATTCCATGGTTAGATTACTCAATATTTAACACCCCCAAGTAGTTAGCAAAACATTTAAATTTAGAAACTGTGACACTAATTTAAGATCAACAAAAAATTTTGAGGTACAATTATGAGTTCTTTAATGACTCAATATTCTTGATAATCTGGCAAGGGAGCTTAAATAGAACACATCTTACAAATCTGATCTAGATTAGCACTATCTATTGCTTGTATCTTGGATGTTTTCCAGCTCTTGACATCTCTGCAACAATGTTTCCTGACCTGTAAATATGTAGCATACCATACACTTCACCAAAAATTGCATTTTGGTAATAAAAAAAAATAAAACAAACATGCCATACATTTCAGTCATTACTCAATAATCGGCTAATCAGGGCACCATCTACCAATAAGATGTATTTTATTATTACCTCTATATTCTGCTGCCCGACATTTAATAAAAGAATAAGTTGTAATAATTGTCACTAAGGCAACTATTTCTATCCTCATTAGTTACCTAACTGGTTTGGCAAATAGACAAATTCTAGAAGAAATGGCAATGCATGCCATAATAAAGCTTGAGCATATATAATACCTAAAAATTGTTGGAATGAAAGTTAAAATTCTAATGAAGCTGCTGAGTACAAACATAGTTCTTTCTGAGACAAATCAATCATATGAAATAAAACCAGTACAAGTGAACAAACTATGCAGTATTTGATAGCCTAATACTGGTTTTCCAGATCAGGTGCACAATTACCCTCTCAAGGTCGCCTGTACAAGAGTATCTAAATGCAAGTTGTGACTCTTAATAGCATATAACTAAAAATTCAGAAAATAACAAGAACTTGTAGACAATTAACACTTGCTCTGGACCAATAATAATATTATGCATCGTAGTTAAAAAGCTAATACTTGGGACATAGAAAAATCTACACACATAGACATCCCTCCCAAATACATACAAACCAACATAAAAATGATGTAATAAAATACTACCTCCGTTACATATTATTTGCAACGATTAGACATTTTCCCTCTCTACTTTATATCAAATCGTTGCAAATAATGTGTAACGGAGGTAGTACTTTAATACATGTACCAAAGCATAAACACCCTACCCAAAAAAAGGGGGGAAAAGGAAAAGCATACAATAATTCAGAAAGCCCCAACTTTGGCAAGGTATGAGCGAGAAGAAGACAAAGGATGCATGAGAACATTTGTCCAATGTGATCAGCACCAGAAATACCCCACAACCCAACGATTTAATAGTCAATTCAGGATAAGCAAATCGCTCAGTTGCTCTTCAATTTGCCCCAAAAGGTGGATAATCATCTCGAAAGCTCCCATTTCTCAAAACCAGGCTACCCAAAATAGCTCATATCTTAATCAAGCATTTAACATATGACACAAACATCATAAAAGTCACAAAATCAGAACACCAAATCATGCAAATCAAAGATAAAAACACTCTATATATGTCCCAAAAAACAACCAACAGAACTATAATCAAGGGAGACTAACACTAACACTTTCCTCGGTATCCGATCCTCACCACCAGTAAAACTCTGAGTAGAAGAACGACCACCATCAAACTCACTTCTTCAACCGTTGGTATTAAAAAAAAAACAGTCAACATTCATACAAAACTATAAAAGGTTAAAAATAGAAAAGATGAAAATTTAACCAATTATAACAGGAAAGAGAAAGGAGACAGATATGGTATCCACAACACATTAATATCAAACTGCAGGAATAGGTTTATAATTTGAGAGCAGAAGATAATTTGTAATATAAACAAAACCTTGAATAGAACCTAACCAATGACAATATATTCAACATCAAATATCACAAAACTATAAAGATACTTCTGGGGGAAGCTTGAATTTGGTTTGAGGGTTGTATAAAGTCAAGAAGAAATAAGAATACACCCTAATTTTGTTCAAAATTCCAAACAAACTTGATAATTATTTTCAAATCCAAGTACAATAAGACTCTAATTAGATTAACAATGAAATGCTAGATCGAGAAATGATTTTCGATTATTAAAAAACAAACATCTAAATTAAAGAATTTGAGCAAAAACCCAGGGGAAAAAAAAAATTAAAGCCTAAATTTCCAGAAATGAGTAATTACATCTTTCTATTCAACCACATCAAATTGAAGGAGAGAAAATACCTTACAATATTATATGTATATGTATTTAAGCTTCATCAAGCAGAGTGTCCCCCCAACCTTTTATATGTATATGCATAACCTTTTAGTAGCCACAATATAAATTAGAAAACTTTAACTATTCACAAGAATGGCTTTAACACGTACATATTTCAACAACTTGTCCTCTGCACCCATCAAATTTATACCGTATCCAGGTCATAACTATTGGCAATACATGCAACTAAATACAACAAGAAATACTAATATGTGATTTCATCTCAAAACTGCACGGTTCAATTCCTGCATAAGAGATATACTGATTTAAACTGAACTAAAGTTTAGGGTAGCTTGCTCGACTCAAATCAAGTCAAATTCATTTTTAGTTCAGAAACTTCAAACTCAAAAGATTTTCTACCGATGATATTCATACATCTGACCTATAATCAATTCAAACATACAACTTAGAAATATTACACCTGTGGTAATCATATATCTGACCTTTAATATATACTTCGCATCATTACTCACAAATCACTTTTTAATTTTCATTTGATAAAGACATTTGAACCAGCACAATGCATGCTACCATTTCACATTTCAAACTCTGCTTGATCAGCTAATTTCAGTTGAGTCAAGAGACGAGCTTTGACTAAATTCTTACTGGCTCTATAGCACCTTGCTAACAGAATTCCATCCATTTTATTCGCTTCTTCTGTCAAGTGTCAACCGTGCTTTGGTTCCTAGGTATCTAGATTCGGCGATTATGTTGGGTCTTGAAACCTAGGCTTAAACCGAAAAGGACAGTCTTATAGATGCAACTTCTAGACTACATGACCTACAATAACATACCTTAACGGAGAAGGCTGTAAAGTGACCAATATCTGCAAACATAGCTTCTGTACCTGCAACAACCCATAGCATAGCTGTCATAAAAAATGGACCCCAAAAGATCAAACACAAACAGCAAATTGCATTAGGGTCCCTTTCTTTTCTCCATTTTCCACTTGTTTCCAGGTTCTTATTGAAGGAAAATTAGCCTAAATTCATACATGGAAAAGAAAAAAAAATTACAAACTAACAAAAATACAGAACGTAACAAAATTTGAAGTACATAAAAAGCACCAACAAAATATGGCAATAGTACTTCTGTCCACGAAAGGCCATTTAATTGTGTAGCTATAGTCCTATAGGAAGCTATTACCCCTTGGAGTAGTATTAATGGTTTTCAGACCCTTGTTTATTTTAGAGAAATGCAAGGAAAAATTTTACACATGTAAAGCTCAAAAATCTCCCCAAAATCTACATCTCTTTTGGCTAATGTTATCACTCCTAAATATCAATAACCTTGTCACAAAGGAAAAAATTCAATGTCTCTAAGATTGATCAAGCATATACTTCCTCCATTTTCTTTTATTAGCAACACACCTTCATGGCACGCACTTTGAGGGAAAAATTAGGTGATATAACGGACAAATCAAGCAAAATAATCTATAAATGTAGTAGTTAACTCTTCTCTATTCTGGGTGTTGGAATAATTTTGATAAATTTGCTCGTTTACCTACTATAATTAACTCCTAAAAAAGCATGTCCAAAGGTTGTGTTGCACATAAAAGAAAACAGAGGAAGTATATGAAATAGTATCTGTATACTTCCAAGAAGAACAACCAAAAATTCCATCGAAGTTCGAGAAATTAACCAACTTCTCTAAGAGAGAATGCGGAAAAATTCCTACTTCTGGGAGAATGATGCATTGACATCAACATTCACGTATCTACAAACTTAATGCTAGCTGTTAAGAGATTAGGGAGAAATATACTCCACAAAATTGTAAATAAGACAAAAAGATCAAGCATAGTTTTTTTTGGATGCTCCAACATGAGCTGCATAACTAAAAATTTCAGCATTTACAAAGAATAGAGGTCAGTACAGCGACTAACCCTCATGTAGTTTCGTTTTCGCAACTTGAAGCCCTGAAACTGATGATAAAACTGCAAAAGAAAGAAAAGAAGATACTTACTTTATAGTACTCCAAATTCGCATTAATATTCAACATATACTCTTTTTTTTCATAACTTTAGAGCTTGGACTTACTACATAAGTAAAAGACTGCAAATAAAACTACGAAGTCTTTAACATACATAAACGTGCAGTATCGATACCATGCTACACTATTATGAAATCGGGTCGGGAAGATAAAAGTTACGCAACTAACAGAGTGACTGCTTTCAAGACTCCATTTTCTTTTGCATGTCTAGCTCGAGTTCCAGGCCAACCTGCAAATGCCCGTACCTAAAAATGACGTCATGATTGACTCAAATCATACAAAAAAGCACAAATTAGTACTACCTTATTATGCAGGACAGTAGTGTCTTGATCAAACGATAGCCATGATTCTTCGAGAGTAATCTGCACAAAGTTATCACCTCTTAACTTAGCTTGCATGGAGAAAAGATCCCAACATGGCATAACATAAAGTAACCGTATAGATACCTTTGGAGCTAAGGTAGCTTTAGAATCATCTTCAGGTTGTGCTTTAGTTGTTGTTGTACCATCAATTATTGAAGGAAGCTCGTGCAACAAAAGTTTTGAGCCTATGAAGCATAACACAACATCATCAGAAATGTACTTGCTATTGGGTTGAGGAAGATTTGTTTACTCAGTCTTGTATGAAAAGGATAGAGGCAGCATATAAAATTTACATGAGTACAATAATTTAAGATACCATCCACTCTGTCAAAAGCATCAAATTAATATTGGTTTAGCAATGTAATTATATCGTATGCTAGATGATGAAAAGTTAAATTTGAAAGAGGATTTGGGAACAACAATATCCCAGTCACCATTAATTCGAATACAGGTTATAATTCCATACTTCCATATAAGTTACTTGTGCAGAAATGAAGCACCTATTTCACAATAAAACTTCACATTATGCATAATAACATGTACAATATATAGAAGTTGCAAAGCAGAGGCAGCTGAGATCAATAACAGCTCACGTCAAGGCTAACATATTGACTATTTAAGCAAGAATTTAGAAATTTTGCAGCAAGTATTTGATATATAAAGAAGTTGACAGCTGACACACCAAGATCAAAGAGAAAATCCAGTAAATCTGGTGCCTGCATGCAAATTGGTGAAAGTATATTAGACGATTGTGCTCATATATTGAAAATTAGATACACCATGTTCCATAGAACGTATCTATACCTAACCATCACATAGATAATTACTGAAGTAAGAGCAAACAGAAAAACATTGTGGTATCTACAACAAACCATTGTGTCTTATAAGACTTCAGAGCTACAATATAATTCTTGATGCAAATAAAAAATTAATATACTCCATTCCTAAGTAATTTCACCTTCTTAATAATCTATATATAGACTCAGATTCTACATACAACTCCAAATCAATAATTGAATTTCATGATAAGTATAAGTACCTTAATATCCTCATCCACGCCAACTTTTTGAGATGCAATGATAGGTCCAGCATCCAGTGCTCTAACAGTGAAAGCTAATGAGACTCCAGTTTCCCTAACACCATTCTGCATAAATTGAAACACCCAAACACATACATATCAAATATTTGCATGCATGATGGTAAATAGAAAAGAAACATAGATTATAATTAAGAAGAATTACCAAAAAAAACATAGAAAAGAAAGGAAAAAAGAGGAGAAATAACCAAAAAAAAAAAAAACAGTCAACATTCATATTAAAGATTAGATGAAAATTGAACCAATTTGAACAAGAAAGAGAAAGGAGAGATAGAATTGTACCTGGAGATCAACAATTCTGTTACAAATCAGACAATAATACTACTAACAATAATATTAAAAAAAAAATTCAACCTAAAACAAACGATAAATCACTCAAATTCAACCCAAAAAAACCACCACACAATCAAAGAAGGCACTAAAATTCAACCCAAAAAACGAAAATAAATAGAACAAATAAACCCTTAAAAAATCGAAAAACAATCGAACAAATAAACCCAATAAATCGAAAACAAATCGATCAAATAAACCCCATTAAATACGAAACAATTTCGCACAAATTCACCCACAAAGATTCAACCCAAAAAATTCGAAAACATAGAACATATATGCAAAAAATCCACGACAATCAAACAAGTAAAGCCTAAAAATTTGAAACGAAATCGAGAAAGAGAAACGAGATCAAACTTGATGAATGTGACGATCGGAAAATCTTCCACAACCTCAGACTCGAAAAATCGTCGAAAGGGATGATAATACAGAGGTTTCTCTCTCTAGGTTTCTTTCTCCTTCCCCTTTTTCCTTCTAAGATGAAAATACAGAGGGGGAAAATGGGAACAGCAGCAGAGTAAAGGCCAAGTAAGGGTGAGAGAGTAAGTCGGTTGGAGAGCAGCATGCAACAAACAATAGGAATTAGGGGCAAAATGGGCAATGCATTAATGTTGGAGGCAAGGCTGAAGAGCACTCCCAGCAGTGAGGAGAAAAGCCCTCACGAGTAAAAATAAGGGTGTAAAAAAAAAATCCGAACACTACATCAATGAGTGAAAAAACACTCACTGATGAGTGAAAATAAAAACCCTCAAGAGTTGAGGGCTTTTGGTGATGAACAGTAACATGTGGCCCCCACTGCTTTTGTTGTTTTTTTACAACGGTTATATTTTGTATTTGAAATATAATCGTTGTAATTATTTTTTAAAAAAAAAAAAAAATTCACCAACGACCATAAAATTTTTTTCTCTATAAATAGACATGCATTTTGATATACTTTCAAAAAAACCCATAAATTAGAGAAATTAACATATTTTCCCAATTTCTTCTTGTTATTATTATTATTATAATTATTTCTTATAAAAAAAAATTCTAGTTAGTATTATTAATATTTTTAAACGTAATTATAAATTTTTATTGAATTATTTTTAAACGTAATTAAAAAATAAATTAAAAAATAGTGGAGGAGAAAGTGATGAGAGGTTTTTTTTCTCCTCATTGCTGTGGTGAAAAAAACATTTGATGAGAGAAATTGTATGGGAGGAGTGAGAAAGTGGGTAGAGAGAGATTGAGAGGTTTTTTTTTTTCCTCACTGCTGAGAATGGTCTAATAGCACCATAAGGTACTATTCACCAGCTACAGTAATTTCTTTTGCATGTTTATAAGGGTTATAGATATAGATTTAAAGGATGTTTTCCTAACTTTTCACCACGTCACTCCAAAATCCCACCCTACAATTTGGTGCAATCTTTTTTTTTTTTTTTTTTTTTTGTCGTCAATAACTTCCACTTTTCTAAATTTTAGATAAAATAAATAAATAAATCCCTTTCACTTTTACTATTTTACAATACAATATATATCTCCATATATAATTGCACATTTTATAACAACATTCAACTACAAGCATATTTATTATGTTTTTTCATCTTATAATAAAAAAGTTAATATATAAACTACCCACTTTACTTTTTAATTTTTGAGGGAACTACCTCTTTACTTAATATTACAAATATACACACTAATTTTTTATAACATAATATTGGAAGGAATTTATATTATAATTGCACGTTCCATTTTTTTAATTTTGTATCATCCCAACTCTTGAAAACTTCAATCTTAAAAGTATAGGCATTTTATTTATTTATTTATTTATTTTTGAAAATAATATAGCCCCCCATAAGTTCACTAACTTATAGCTGGACACTTTATGAAATTACTCGGTTAGTGTTATAAGGGTTACTCTGTTACGGATATAGAGCTTACTTAATCAATAATATAGGAGTTATGCTTCAGTGTTTTAGGGGTTACTTTGTTAGGGACTGTTCACATTTACTTAATTTCAGTTCAGTTCATCTCTTAATTTTCCTCTCTCATAAAATATTCATTTCAGCTCAGTTCATTTCAGTTCAGTTCAACTATAATCAGTTTAGTTCAGCTCAGCTCAATTTAGTAAATGTGAACATGTCCTTATTTCAGGGTTACACAAAAAGTATAATAAGGGGTTTACCGTTTCAATATAATACATGTTACTCCATTTTTCTACCAGTGACCATACGGTGTTGCAATGCACAGAAAACATGCTACTCGTAGCATAAGTTCCACTATTTTCCTTTTTTTAAAAAAAAAACTCTACATTGTATTTATTTGAATATCTTACTATCTGATATATATCCCGTGCATACTCTAGTGTAATCAATTACAATCATTTGTCAAAATTTCTCTAATTCTATCAAGCTCTATTGAATTTTCCTCATCAAATAAAAACATTGCAAAGTTAATTTTTTTTAATTTTTTTTGGAAGACAAAGTTAATCTAGGCCTAAGCTAACCCATGATTAAAACCGGACCATAACAAAATGGGCCTTACCCAACCCACACATCTCACCACTCATTCACCAACTTTCCCCAAAATTAATAGCCGTTAAACCCCATTTTCACACATAACGGCCGTTCGATCTAGGGTTTAGCAGCTCTACACTCACCCCAAACTCATATAACTACACTCCTCAAACCCTCATTCTCCATCATCAATCGCTGCTATCGCCGCCCATTTCACCGTCTCCTGGTAAACAATTCTTCTCTCAATTTCTCCTTCATTCTTGTTAATAGTTGTTGAATCTCCAAGTTCTTTGCAATCATCTGATGAGAAAAATACTGCAACAATATGACATTGATTTTCAATCTTCATGATTTTTGTATTTAAGTCTCTGATGATTGCTCTTTTCTCAAAATAAATTGCATTTTCATCTTTAAAATTCCTAATTTTTTCAAAGTTTTTTTTAGATGTATGAGAAATGATGAATAACTTTTGGTCCGTGTTTCTGAATTTACCGTGACCGATACCAATTAACCAACTCTGATCTCAATTTGTTTTTTTTTAAAAATAAATTTTCTTAATTTTATTGCGGCTCAATGATTTTTCAGCCTTTTAGGCAATATACGCTATTCTGAATCATTTATGTTGTCATTCATAAATCTTTTATGAGAGTTGCTGTACATTAAATTAATTTTTTTAATTAGTAATTTCATTAATTGAATTTCTTTTTTGCGATGATGATTTATGGAATTATTCACATGTCAGACTTCGGAGGTTGCTTGCAACCTATGAGATAAAAATCCTTAATTCTGAGTAAATTAAATTCCTTCATTAAATTTTTCAAATTTCATTTTATTTTTTCCAGTTTTTGGCCAAGGATTTATCAAATTGTCCGTACCATCTGAAATTGATGATATTTTTAACAAATTTTCTGAGGCCAATCAAAAAATCAAATGTATTTTTGTTTTTATTTATTTTAAAATAATTGGCTGTGATGTTTATGTAATACCATCAAACTCTGAAAGCTTAAAGCTTAATTTGATGACATCACTAATTACGCTGAAGCCTTTTAATCAAATATATTTTCTTAATTCTTTTTTAATTAAGAATTGAAAATAAAACAAAAATGCGGCAATAAATTAGAGTCTCTGATGCGCTTAGTTACAATAGCGCTTTTAGCGCTGTACGTTGCCAATAATAATTTGGGAATGAAAGATTCTGGCATTTTCCATTGATAATAATGGTTTATGCATTCAGACGTTCCTATAATTAATTATAATTTACTCAAATTAATTCATTTACAAGGAGATTGGAAGTGATGATTATTTCCCCAGATGATCGACGTTGAAATAACTGAGCTATTTTAATTCTCTTTATTGAGAATTCAAGCCAGATTTCTGATCCGTCTCTTTTTGTTACTCGAAACCTGATTCTATCCGAACCCGAGCTAATTGTTAATTAGATTAGGTTTTAATTGTAAATTGAAAAATTGGAGTTGGAAGTGATGATTATTTCCCCAGATGATCGAAGTTGAAATTACTGAGCTATTTTTATTCTCTTTATTGAGAATTCAAGCCAATTTTCTGATCCTTCTTCCATTAATCAATTTGAAAACGTCTAGTTTTTTTTTACTGATTGATTCAAAATTTTTAGTATGGGATTAGTGAGAAATGATGAATACTAATTGGTCCGTGTTTCTGAATTTACCGTGACTGATACCAATTAACCAATTCTGATCGCACTCAATTTATTACAGAGTACTCCGTTTCTAAGAGCTAAAAAAAAGCTTTAGTTCGCAAACATTTACTTTGTTGCAAACAATAGTTAGCGGAGGAAGTACTATGGACTTGGACTTACAGAGTACTCCCAATAGAGAACGGAAGTAAAGATTTTTTCCCCAGATGATTCTTGTTGAAATAAGTGTACTGTGCTCTATTTTAATTCTCTTGTGGGAAGAGAAGAATTCAAGCCAATTTTCTGATTTCTATTTGCGATTCAAACTAGATTTTACATGAACCTGAACAATTTAGAGACCTTTCAGCACGATATTAAAAAGTACTCGTAAAAAGTAGGATTAATGAAGCCTAGATTTTATATGAACCTGAAGAATTTGGAGAAAACAATACTGTTAATACAATAATAAAAGATTTACTAATTGACATTGATTACATGACTTTGTTGTTAACTACTAGTTAAAAGTAACTTAAATAAGCCAAAATCGATTGATTTAATCATCATCACTTGATGTTGATTCCTCAGATGATGACTCCTCAACACCATCCAACACAAGCTCTTGTTCGGATTTCAACTTGTTTTCTTGCTTTTTCTTCTCAAGGTAAACAACTAAGTACCCGACCCGATTGACCTGACCTGTTGACCCGATGACCCGACTGATTTATCCGGGTATTTTTTATATTTTTCTTGAAATTCGCGGGTCGAGTACCCGACCCGATAAAATAGCATGTTTTCGGGTCGGGTCATGGGCTGACCTGTGAGGGTGGTGGGTACCCGTTGACCCGTGAGTCAATATTTTGTTTGAAAAAATAAATAAATAAAAAAATTAATTATTTTTCCGGATTTTACATTAACAACTTTATCTTAATTGTTTTCTCATGAATTATAACTAATCTTAGTTTTGATATTATCTATATTTTATATAATAACTTGACTGAATCATCAAATTCAATTATTATATTTATTATTTATGATTTTCGTTTTTTTTTTATTAAAAAAAAAAAAAAAAACACACACACACACAAAAAAAAAATGGCCGTGAGTTTGTTGAGGCCTAGTTGTTTTTATCATGGCTTAGCTTCATCCTATTTAACTTTAAGCATTTAATCTTTTAATTTATCTTACTTTACCTTCTACCTTCCTTAACCAAATTAGCATCTATCTTAATTCCATCTCTAATCTTTTGCATTGGATTTTTTTACATGAATTAACCTAGACTAAATTTCACTCATATTCATTTAACAAACTTACATTTATCATGTTCCCATGTTAATCTCAATCCTCCTTTAACTCTATCTTACTACCCCTTAAACATTATAAATAGACCCTTAATTCTTCCCACTTATTCACACCAAATAAGAAATTCTCTTCTATACTCTCTATCTCATCACCCCTTCTTCTTACTCTATCTAGCTTAAATAAACTCTTTAACCCATAACCAAGTTGTTGCCACCGAACAACTGCCTCTTCCGCCTCCAACGACCACCCAACTATACTAATAGCATTATTTTGATAAAGGTTGATATTTAGGTAGTTCATGCACAATAGAATGGCGTTTTTGGTTTTGTGTTATTTTGTTAACCTTATATTAATTAAGGTTATTTTATTTGTGTAGGAGGAGTCTCTCGATCGTGGTCAAGTTTAGTAGTCGTACCTTTTTGTTCTCGTGATCAAGGTACGTATAGGTGGCTAGGTCCTTGATACAATTTTTTAATGCGTGTTTTGTATGATGTTTGTTTTAACAATTGGTTGAATACAATTATTTAAACAATCATTAAAACAAACATTATACCAAAACACCCATTAAAAAATAATTATGTAAAGGACCTAGCTACCTATACGTACCTTGATCACGAGAACAAAAAGGTACGACTACTAAACTTGACCACGATCGAGAGACTCCTCCTACACAAATAAAATAACCTTAATTAATATAAGGTTAACAAAATAGCACAAAACCAAAAACGCCATTCTATTGTGCATGAACTACCTAAATATTAACCTTTATCAAAATAGTGCTATTAGTATAGTTGGGTGGTCGTTGGTGGCGGAAGAGGTAGTTGTTTGGTGGCAACAACTTGGTTATGGGTTGCAGAGTTTATTTAAGTTAGAGTAAGAAGAAGGGGTGATGAGATAGAGAGTAGAGAAGAGAATTTCTGATTTGGTGTGAATAAGTGGGAAGAATTAAGGGTCTATTTATAGTGTTTAAGGGGTAGTAAGATAGAGTTAAAGGAGGATTGAGATTAACATGGGAACATGATAAATGTAAGTTTGTTAAATGAATGTGAGTGAAATTTAGTCTAGGTTAATTCATGTAAAAAAAAATCCAATGAAAAAGATTAGAGATGGAATTAAGATAGATGCTAATTTGGTTAAGGAAGGTAGAAGGTAAAGTAAGATAAATTAAAAGATTAAATGCTTAAAGTTAAATAGGATAAAGCTAAGCCATGATAAAAATAACTAGGCCTTAACAACTCACGGCCATTTTGTGGTTTTTTTTAATAAAAAAAAACGAAAATCATAAATAATAATTGAATTTGATGATTAAATCAAGTTATTATATAAAATATAGATAATATCAAAACTAAGATTAGTTATAATTCACGAGATAATAATTAATATAAGGTTGTTAAGTATTGTTAAGGTAAAATCTGGAAAAATAATTATTTTATTTTTAAAAAAATAAAAAATAAATAGCGTACAACGTTAACTAACAAATTATGGACCGACCAAGATCATAATTTATTTAATTATTCCAAATAATTAGAGAAATTACTAAAATAGTTAAGAAAATCATTCGAAAAATTTAGGGGTATTACAGTCTACCCCCCCTTAAAAGAAGTTTCATCCCAAAACTTAAAATTATTCAATAACTCGAATTAATACTCCAAATTATCTTAAATTGGTTAAAATTTAGTAAGTTCATGCACAACCTAAAGACTCGACTCAAAAGACTCATAAAAAGATATAAAAAGAAAAGTGCGAAACTCTATTGCATTCTACCCCCCTTAAAAGAGAGTTACGTCCCCGTAACTTAACCACTCACCATGAAAAGGTTAGGGTACTTTTTACGCATTTCTGCCTCAGCCTCCCAAGTTGCTTCCTCAACCTTATGGTTCGACTATAGAACCTTGACAATCTTCACATCCTTGTTTCTGGTGCTTCTAACTTTACTATCTAAAATTCTCACCGGTCTTTCTTCATAGGTTAAACTCTCATCTAGCTCAATTGTCTCTGGTTCTAGCACATGTGCAACATCAGGAATGTACTTGCGAATCTGACTTACATGAAAAACATTGTGCACCCTTTCCAACTCGTTGGGTATCAAGAATCGAGTACATTATTATTTTCGAAAACAAAATGAATTGAAACTATTTGATTTTGTAAACACCTAATGTGCATTAGTCTAAGTATAATTAGGGTCGTTATGGAATTTTAATTTGGTTCCATTGGTATTTATCCTTGAGGAAATTTGAATTGCTTATTTAAATAGTTTGTGTTATCACAGATGATGGAAACTGTTAGAAGACATTTCTTTGATCAAAGGCTAGTAAAATCGGATGCTATATCCGTGCGTGACTTTATAACAGACATTGTTTGGCATGCTACTGATATAAAAATACATAGGAATATGAAATTTATGATCGAGGAACCATGGATCATCCTACTGGCCTTAGTTCACTTACCCAACACGCCTAAATATAATACATTAATCCGAAAGTATAGAAATGTAATTAAACCTAATGGGTTGTGGAATATTGAAGCCTATATGCATGAAGGAAAATGGCTAGGAACCTTAACCAATTTTAAAGCAGACCTACATTTCGCCGAAGTTGACTGGAGCCGAATCCCAAGACCAATAGTTGCTGAAATTCCTCTTGGGCTTACACCTCAAGAAGTCCAAAAGTTAAATAATCTAAACTATGATATGCCACCCTTACCACCTCCACGTTTGCATCTTGACTATACATTATCCGACGACTTAGAAATCCCTCACCCAAATGACTTTGAATCCCCACTTCTTACTCCTGAACCCCTTGTCCCAAGGGGTCGAGTATCTAGTCCAAAACACAGTACAAACCGTAACCCTAGCCCCTATGTTAGCCCAAACCGCAACTCTAGCTATGGCCGTGAGTTGGAAAGGGTGCACAATGATTTTCATGTAAGTCAGATTCGCAAGTACATTCCTGATGTTGCACATGTGCTAGAGCCAGAGACAATTGAGCTAGATAAGAGTTTGACCTATGAAGAAAGACCGGTGAGAATTTTAGATAGTAAAGTTAGAAGCACCAGAAACAAGGATGTGAAGATTGTCAAGGTTCCATGGTCGAACCATAAGGTTGAGAAAGCAACTTGGGAGGCTAAGGCAGAAATGCGTAAAAACTACCCTAACCTTTTCATGGTGAGTGGTTAAGTTACGGGGACGTAAATCTCTTTTAAGGGGGGTAAAATGCAATAGAGTTTCGCACTTTTCTTTTTATATCTTTATATGAGTCTTTTGAGTCGAGTCTTAAGGTTGTGCATGAACTTACTAAATTTCAACCAATTTAAGATAACTTGGAGTATTAATTCGAGTTATTAAAAAAAAAAAACACAAAATGGTCGTGAGTTGTTGAGGCGTAGTTATTTTTATCATGGCTTAGCTTTATCCTATTTAACTTTAAGCATTTAATCTTTTAATTTATCTTACTTTACCTTCTACCTTCCTTAACCAAATTAGCATCTATCTTAATTCCATCTCTAATCTTTTCCATTGGATTTTTTTTACATGAATTAACCTAGACTAAATTTCACTCATATTCATTTAACAAACTTACATTTATCATGTTCCCACGTTAATATCAATCCTCCTTTAACTCTATCTTACTACCCCTTAAACACTATAAATAGACCCTTAATTCTTCCCACTTATTCACACCAAATCAGAAATTCTCTTCTCTACTCTCTATCTCATCACCCCTTCTTCTTACTTTATCTAGCTTAAATAAACTCTGCAACCCATAACCAAGTTGTTGCCACCGAACAACTACCTCTTCCGCCACCAACGACCACCCAACTATACTAATAGCACTATTTTGATAAAGGTTAATATTTAGGTAGTTCATGCACAATAGAATGGTGTTTTTGGTTTTGTGTTATTTTGTTAACCTTATATTAATTAAGGTTATTTTATTTGTGTAGGAGGAGTCTCTCGATCATGGTCAAGTTTAGTAGTCGTACCTTTTTGTTCTCGTGATCAAGGTACGTATAGGTGGCTAGGTCCTTTACATAATTTTTTTTGAATGCGTGTTTTGGTATAATGTTTGTTTTAATGATTGTTTGAATAAATGTATGAATATTTAAGTTAACGATTTTCAAGATGAGTTAAAATATATAATTTTACGATTAAAGGTTTGATCTTGAAAAGGTGTTGCTTGATTTAATAAAA